TTGAACCTACCATGAAAGCTTTTTGCCCATTTATTGATAGGAAGCAGTATATCTTGTAGGATATTTCTCCTTCATCAGTCTAAGGGAGGAGGTAAATGCTAGTTAGCTTGGTTCCAGGAGCCAATTCTGTATTTGCAGTCATCTTCATCTGGAAAATGTTGCTTTGCTCTACACGAGGATTCTTATGGTAGGGAGGATGTGCCAAATGCCTCCCTGTTCACAGGGGGTACTGTCACACTCTTTGGGGTGGTTTATAAGCTCTTTCTGGGTAGCTGAACTGGCTTATTTGTACTTGGGTTTGGTTTGGGGTTTTTTTTTTCAGTCAAGCCTGGCTTGCACTAACTAACTATTCTTGTTAACAGCTTCCAACCTGGGTGGAGCAAGCTGCCTTTTTGTTCGGAGCCCTATCTGGTGTCATAACAGGGAAAGGCGTGGAGCACAACTTGGCCATAGCGCACAGAGAATGAATGAGAAATAAAGGGAAAGTGCCAAACTCTAGAGGATGTTTGGTTATAGCTAACTATGAATAAAAGTGTGCTCACTTTTAAGTATACTAACCAACATGCTGATTATTTGTTGGGGGAAACAGAAAGTTACTGAAGTGGTTGGTCAAAATTCTCCAGTTGGCTTCAGCTGCAGCAGGATTTTAGCCCCGATTTGAGGTGCATGCTGCTTTCAGATGCTGTGAACCTTCTAAAGATTAGAAATGAGGTGAAATCAACATCTTAATTTTAGCTCTAAGGGTTTCTCATGACTTAACACTTATGTCAAGGATAGATAGGTTTTGCAAGCATCTGCTTGGAATATCTCTTTTTCTTAAATACAAGAAAAGCCCTTCACACTTCGTCAGTTCTGCTGGTCTTCTGTGAAGTTGCAGCCTTTTTGTAGTTTGTAAATGAGCTGTGAAGAGGTAGCCAAATAGTAGCATAGATGTGTGTGTATATATGCTGGATTTTTCTTTACACTTAACTGAACAAATACCTGAAAGAGCAAAATATCATCAGCCAATTAGGATAAAAGCAGAATTTAGGGAAAATTTGGTCAATGTGTGGCAAACAATGTAATTGAGGAGGCTTCAGGCAAGGTAGGGGAGAACAAAAAGCACATGGGAGAGAGTTGGGGAGAGGAAGTAGCTGGGGAATACCGGATTTCCGATGCTTGGTTCCAATCAGAAATACCTGTCACTATGGAGCTGATCACTGAACAACTAGGGGGGAAGCTGTGATCAGAGGCATGCTTTGGCTTGTGTGCCTCTCCTTAAATTAGCTTTGCATTCCTGTTCCCAGTCGTTGCTAAAATAAGAAGGTATGCATAAGGTGAACTAGTTTTGAATTTACGGGACTGTGAAACCTCAGGTGAGCTTCTTTCCCCCCAACCCTTTCCATTGGCTTCGGAGAGAAATTTGTATGGTATTGCAGGTAAGGGTTATTTTGCCTTCTCTATTGCAAAAACACAATGTACACTCTGGACACAAACTTCAGGTTGAAAAATGTATTTGGGACTGTCAGAATGGCCCTCAGTGGAAAGGCAAAGAAACTATTAATGAGACATAAGTTAACTGTCAGCAAATAAAGAACTGAATACACATGAAGGAAAACCAAATCCTAATAAAAAGGTTTTATAGAGTTATAATTGGGAAGCAGAAATAGAGATACAGCCAAAAGGTTTTCTGGTTTTCAGACCTCTCTGTAAACTTCTACTGCACAATCCTAGAAACCAAACCAATCCTAGATTTATTTTTTTTTCTTATTACCGATTAGCTTTGCTTAGAAATATAAGGAGACACAGTGATTTCACCACATAGATCTTACACTTCTGATGTCTGTGTGTGTTCTGTTTTTAGTGACAGGTGCCTCAAAGAATCCCATTAGCACTTGTGGGGCAGGCACGCAGTCCTTTAATTCAGCCCTGCATATTGGTCTGACGGAAGCACATACCACAGGCTGCTTTTATTGGTTCGCTATCACTATTCAGTCTATTAAAACTATTTGCCCTGTAAGAAATGAATGGAAATATTTCCCTTGAGCTTGGGCTGTTTCGAAGACACTTTGTTCAGATCACCTGCTGCTTTGGTGAATGTTGTTTTCAAAATTGGAAGTGTCAGCAAATATTTCTTTATTAAATAATGACTCTCTAGTATTTTTATTTAGTGTTTTGGCATTGTTTTTTTTTCCTAAGATGGACAATAGGAAAACAGATGACCAAAACTGATCTGCACGGAACGTAAGACTGTACATTGTGTGCTGACTGGGGGGGAAGAATGCACTTGCTGGCTTGCTAAATTGAGATAATACTTTGAATGTTGACAGACAGAAAAACAATTAGAGCTGTCGGATTCTTTGCTGACGTGTGTGTTGTCACATGGAGAGATGGCTTGTTTTGTGCCAGTAAATCTGAACCGTTCAACTCTCAGCAAGATATTAAGTTAATTAATAAAGTTCCTTATGGCTGGGCTTGGAATGTGAGGTCTGTTTATTTGTGAGGACAGCTGGTCCAGGAATAAACAACAGAGGTCACTGGTGGGGCCTGTTAGGTGTTTTCTCAGTCACTGTTATATTACAGGCTAGTAAAAGACTTTCTTCTGCTTAGTTTATTGGTACGTTAAAATGGCGTTACCTGACTAAAGTGTTCCTGTATTTGTACACTGTTAATACTTGTGCAGATAGTAGTTTTCTTTGAAGTATGTAACTTCACCTGGGAAGATGTTTATTATAAAACTCCTTGACCTCTTTGGGTTTTCAGGTGCTTACTCATGTCTCAAAAGACTCTCTTTCTGTATACATGGGTATTCTTAAAAGTTATCACTTCTTTGTTGATTAATTATACAAGCATATTTGAAATCTGGTTTTACTTATACATTTGGACTTACTCATGTTTCTTTTGTTTTCTAAGCGGGTACTTTTGGACAGGAATTTTGGTGTGTATGTGCTGGGCTGACTTTACAAAAGACTTGCCTAGTGGTTCTCCACTAAAGCTTGTCCTCTGACTGTGGTGTGACCCCTGTGGCTCTAGCAGACTTTGAGGTGTGTTGCTGCTGACTGCCACAGCTTGTCAGGTGGAGATCAGTGTGTCTTCTGGATCACGTGTCGATTTTTATCAGCTGCTGAATGAAGTATTTGGTTGTAGAAGGGAAATCATCTTCCACTCTAGCTTGAGGGCTGCCCTAGTACATCTTTTTTGATGCAGAAAGAGGTGTTCACCAGGAGAAGGCAGCTCTGATTAGACTGTAAACATGAACTGTACCAAGTATTTGCTTAGTTTTTCCTGCACCATTTCTGCCTCCACATGCAGTTCTGTTAAATCCATCAGCATCATCAGATTCCATGTTTCTTGTGTAACCCTACCCTGCTTGTCTTTACTAATCTCCTCTAAATAACTTTCAGATTTCTTTTACTCTGTTCCTGTGTTATCCATTTTCCTGGTACTTACTTCTTAAAAAATATTGTCTTTAGTTTTATCACTTTATCCATATTGGATTACCTGGATACATGAGCTTCTTTTATCGTATTATCATGGTTTATTTTTCCTCTATCTGCTTAAATAACCCAGCTATCTCATTAGGTTTTGTTTTTAAAGAAAAATCGTCATTATTGGTGGTTGGGTTTTTGTTTCGGTTTTAGGGGGATGTTTTATATTTTTAAAACAAAAATTCTTTTGGGAGTTTTTACTTTGAAATTTTTGAAATTCAGCATCTCAGTAGTTCCAGTTAGAAATTAACTTTTGTGAGCCATGATGCCAGTTGATCTGTTTATGCAGAAGAAAAGCAGCCCCTGGAAAAGCTGAACTCATAGCAAAACCCCTAGAGTTCAGATCAGTAATTAATCTAGAAGTTAATAGATAAACATTGAGCAGCTTGACTGTTGGTAACAAGACAGCAGAGGCTGATTGCTAAGTCCTAATCTAGCTCCCTAGGTCTCTAACTTTATTTCTGCGCTTCAGAGTTTTTCTGCACTCAAATGCCAGAAAGAGACTTTTGGATTCATGGGATTTCTTTGTTTCAGAAAAAAGCAACCCCCAACTGGTTGGTTGGTTTGTTTGTCGTTGGTTTTTTTTTTTTCATTTACAAACTTGGGGTATTTTCTTTTTTAAAATGAAATTGGAAGCTAGTATACCATATTAGCTGGTAGGAGTGGCGTTATTTCAGCAAAGGCAGTAGAACCATGTTTGAAAGTGAGAACTGAATAGACTAGATGGTAGGGCTTGACTTTTGGTTTAGTGTCATTGGAGTGCCTATGGAAAAACCTCAGATAGCACATTAGCTGAAGTGTTTCCTTACAGAACCAGCGCTGTTTTGGCAGGGGTTAAACCACCACTACACCACTTCCCCTGATGCATCTCTCTTTTAGAGAAAGAGACAAGCAAACGTCTGCTTGCTTTCCTTTCTGGGTTTTCCAGCATAAGTACTAAATGCACAGGTATGTTGGGACTAGGAGCCTTCAGCTGCTTCTTTATGGAGAGCAAGGTTGGACTCTCACGGATGGCTGTAATTAAAAATGTTTCCCCCTTGTTTTGCTATGCTACCACCTGCTAGGAATTACTGAACAAACACTGAAAGCATCTATAACCAGTCCCTTGAGACATCCAGGCAATATATAAAGGAAGAGGGGGCGCCTGTTAGTGGAAACTGTTATGAGTTTAGTCCGGAGTTGTTTATTTAATGCTATTTCTTTTGGTGCTATTTTTGTAATAACTTTTAATATTTTAGGAAATAAACTGTAATGAAACTTCTGGTATGTCAACAGAATGGGTAGACATTGCTAAAGCATGGGGTGTTTGATTCCTGTTATTATTTTTAAAGAAAGGAGGCTGTGTTGCCTCTTCAGCTTAGTAGATGTTAAGGTGAATTTGTTCAACTTTTTAGATTGGTAATGCCTCACTATAAACACCAGGATTTTTCTCTCTTCTAGCTGCTGAGAGAAGTCTGCTGCATTATCTCTGGTATAGCTGCAAGTATGACTTGACTGACTTGCATTCATGGCTCTTGGATGATCTGGTGAACCATGGAGCTCAAAGTATGGGTGGATGGAGTCCAGAGAATTGTGTGTGGGGTCACCGAAGTCACAACATGCCAGGAAGTTGTAATAGCCCTTGCTCAGGCTATTGGTAAGTACCTCTGTCAGCTGGGTGTCTGGGAACTGGGGTGAAGCTTTTTTTATGACGCTGAATTGAGGGGAGGTGGGGTTGCGCTGAGTTATCAGTAGAGCATGAACATATAATGCACAGTGCAGTGTAAACTTGCAGCCTTTGTTTTTGAACCTGCTAGAGAGATTAAAAAGAAAGAAAAGAAACACTTTGAAATCTATAAATTTTCATTCACTACAAATTTATTCTCTAAATAATAATATGCTGCTATTTGTCATTGTAAATACAGCCGGGACTAAAGAAGGTACTAAACCGTCAATGTTTTGAGTATTAAAGAAATACAAAACAGTGCAAAGTAACTGCTTGGCTTTCACAAGCTAATGACGTTCACTGAAATTACACACGTTATAAATATCCCTAGCTATATTGGGAATAGTATAGATCAATGAAATAGATCCTTCAAGTTCTCCTCTTACTCCTGCAAGCCACATAACTCAGTACTAATGAAAGGGTAACTTGAAGTCTGTTCAGTGTTAGCTATTTGCTGAACAGTTCAGTGAAAAAAAAAAAATAAAATAAAAAATCCTTCAGACTCCTCTACAAGAAAGAACATTCCTTCAGTCTTGTCAGATCTTTCTCAGTGATTGAGAGCATCCTTATGAATAAGCCTCAACTTCATCCCTTCAGTGCTTCCTATGCTGAATCTTATTCTTTGCTAAAATTTTATAATTGGCTTTACATACTATTTAAATTTAGGCATTAAAACTTATGTCTTACCTAAAATTAAATTCATAATTTAAGGGCTAGCTTTTGCATTTTTCAGTATTCCAACCATTTTGAAAGATTATATTAGCAGTCTGACTCGATTGCAAAATAATAATTTTCTAATAAAAAACAACTTAGGGCCATGAATGTCAACTAGATACTCTACCTGTAAGCATGAAGTCAATTTCTCTGAATTTCTGATGTTTGTTTATTTAAATGTGTACTTCTGAACATAATTTCCATATACTTTCATCTGATGGAGTCGAAGACTGGCACTTTTTTATTTTATATCTTAAGGGGATTGAACACGATGCTAGCATGTGTATATTCTTATCTATATGCATCAAATACCTTTTAAAGTTTCGTTTTAAAATTGTAGAAAGTCAGTATGTCTCTAAAATCTTTTATTTGATGGTTAAGTGTGCTTTTACTGTTTATATTAGTTGCAGCTTTTCATTTAATGCTAATTGGTTTATGAATTGCTTGCTTCCATATCTCATTTTCTGCCTGTAGGCGTTTTAAGACACAATTATGTTAGCACAATTATTTCCTAGTAATGATTAAAGTGTTACATATTTAGAAAAAATAAACTGCTTGTGATAGACTTCTGTCTTTACTTTGCTTTCAATATCTCTCATCCTGTTTCCTTTGCCTCCTCCCACAAAACATTTCAGACTCCCAGTTCTAGACAATAATTTAATGTTCTCCTGTGTAATTTCTCTTTGTTTTTTCTGTATCTTCAGTTATTAGCCTGAACACTGAAAAGACTCCATCAGCCTTGGAAACACACACAGTTTTTGTCAGCTGAGCAGAATTCCTTTTCTGTAACACGTCATCAGTTCCTCTGGGCGTGTGACTCTGGTTCCATGCAGAGATAAATTTTAGTTGCAACCAGAGCCAAATTAAGATAATCCTTTGGAAACTCCTTCCTGAGGGAAATATCCTCTTTAGAAAACACCTAGAGTAGAGTAATTGTGCTCCAATTTCTCTCTGGGGCTGCTAGGACAGTATTAAACACCATGTCAATTACACTTGCGTGTCTTTGGCAGATAGGGCTTTTCCAACCCTCCTGTCAGGCCATTCATCAGAAAAGCAACCATATGTTTGCTCCTTTGATTTGGCTACAGGTACCAGCTTACTAGGAATATTTGTCCCTTGAATTTGAATAGGAATCTATTAAAATGTATCCTTCTAGCTCTCACCTGACATTTGGTGGTGGAAAGTAGCCAGTCTTAGTTGGCTTCCTCCTTGGTTGGCTCCAAACTTATTTTCCATTTTGCAGTCTGGCTCCTTCAGCAGTCGCATAGCTTAGCAGGACTCAGTATTATATTTTGTCTGTCTGTTGGTCTGTCTGCAGAGTTTTTGAGATGCCCCTTTTGTTTTATCGTGTCCTACAGTTAATTGCTAGGTCCTTGACTTAAAAAATACAACATTCACACCCCCCTCGACACAGCCTTCTTCACTGAGCCTGGAATATAAACTGTAATAGGTATATTTTTAGTGTTGAGGTGCAGCATCTGGAATATCTGCAAATTAACTTATTGTATAGCCATATCCACTGAGGAAAGCACAAGCCAAAGATACTTGTACCCTTTTAAGACATCTATAGTTCAAGAAGCTTCACATGGACAAACCAAAGCTGTCTCTACTATAGAGATCTGAAAAGTAAAGCTTTACAATGCGTTTCAAAAATAAAAAAATCAAAATTATCTCAGAATGGGTTGTGGTTGAAAGGTACCCCTGCAGATCATCTAGTCCATATCTGTTGCTCAAAGCAGAGTCAGGTAGAGCAGGCTGCTCAAGACCATGTGCAATTGGATTTTGAATATGGCCAAGGATGGAGACTCCACCACTTTTCTGGGCAACCTGTTCTGGTGTTCAGTCACTCTTACTCTAAGGGAGGGGGGGGATGTCCTTATGTTTAATTGGAATTTCTTGTATTTCAAGAAATTTCTTTTCCTGTCACTTGATCAAACGCAGGGCCTTGTCTACTGATCTCCCACTGTGATAAGAGCAACAAAAAGGTTTCCATCTATTTCCTTTCCAACCCTTCCTCATGTTGTGGAAATTCAGTAATAACTTTCTTCAGGACATAAAAGCATTCTTCCTTATTTATCTATTTATTTATTTATGCAAAGACAATGGCTTGCGTTGTAAATTGCTAGGGCTGTTTCAGCCAAACAAAAATAGCAAGTCATGGCAGGCTGTCCCCCTCTGTAGGAGACTATTTCCCATAACCAAAGTGTAGCCTAATCCTTTGGCAGTGGAGTGCTGTCACTTAACTTGCCTGCTAATGTTCCTTGACCTATTCCTTACAAATTGTTATCTGTCGCTATTACTCTTTCAGTGAAAAGGCCTGCTTGTCTCTCTTCCTTTGGGGCTGTAGTCCTGATGGATAACATTTGTGTTACCTGCTTATGCATTATGATTCCCTTGCCCTGTTGCCCATCTCTTGATCATTGCAGAATAGGAAATGATTCTACTACAAGTTTCTGTACAAATTAGGGGTTTTGTAATTTCCATTTGGCTTGAAGTTAAAGGGTTTGAATTAAATCTCAAACCTTATTGTTTAAAACAAAAAAAGAAGGGAGAGTGTCTCCTTTGGTGATCCCAGTAAATGTTATTTTAAAAATACATGTATGTAATTTAATGAATGTGTGAGAGAATAATATCAATTGGATATAATTTTGGATACTGTAATTGATTATGTCTCTAACTTAGGAGGAGTTAGAAATGCCTTAGCTGGAGGGAGGTTTGCTGGAATTCTGTTCAAGACACACATAAAACTATCCAGTTACAAGTTTCCAGGGAGTGAAATCACCTCCCACTGGGATCTTGAAGAACACTTGATATTACCTTTTATGACTTTTATCCAAGGCTGCCTTTTTTTAAAAAAAACAACAAAAAAACCTCAAGCTGCTTGCAGATTACAGAGAGGAAGATTTGGCCTTATAATACAAATAAGAGAAGTGATCGTTTCATCATGAGAAACTAAGCCCTGACCAAAATGTAAAAAATATACCACAGCTCACAGTTTAAATGGAGAACCACGAGTCTTGCTCTGAAAATATTTTTGCCAGGAGAGATGAGCTGGATTTTATCACATCCATTATTGTCTATTTTAAAAATGTACATTTAACAGCAAATTCTGCGTGTTTTTCTGCTTCCACTAGCTTTTCTGTGCATTCTGTGAAAATCATGCCAGAATGGCTTCATATAAGTGTTGCTTGCTCATTTTGATTCCTCTTCTCAATTTGGGCAACTGAAAAACAAATTAAAAAAAAAAAAGTTACTGATACTTTTTAACTGTATGTATGAGATGGGTGGTAAATCCAGTCAGGGGTCTCTTTTGCAAATAGTTGTGTGTGTGTGAGCGTAGTGGCTCTTCTCAAAAAGTCATTGTGACACTGAGGGGAAAAACAGATGGTATCCTAAAAAAGTGAGCTAATCATGTTAGCTGATAGTTTAGGCAAGTGTAGTTTAACTACAGAAGATTTTTTTTTTAAATTGGCTTTTACTGAGTGTTCTCCATTCAAATCTAAAAAATAAAAAATCTTCCAAAGGAATATGTTGATGTATAGCACAGTCACAAATACACTTGCCCTGTTTATTCAAAAGTGGTGTTCTCCCATTTCTAGCCCCTGTGAGGATTTTTACTGCACTTGTCATTTCTTTTCTCTCTGGAGACTAGAGTGTCAGAAGAGTATAAGCAACACTTCACTGTACAAGAAGTACAGCTGTCTCTCTTTAAAATTAAACAAATGCAGCTGTCAATTTTTTTATTGCAATTGAGTATTTTTCCTCAAAGAGAAATGGGGTGTATTTATGAAAATAAAGCACAGATTTGTTCATGCTGTTTCAAACATGCTTTACAGCATTGTGAGGCTCAGCCAGAATTGTATCTGGAAGAATCACACCACTTCATTGATGTCTGTTCCTATGTTCATCCCTTCCTCCAAATAATTTCTGCTAAAGCAAGTGCCAGAGCTGGCTGTCAGACACTTTGAGAGAGAGAAAAGAGTCTGAGGTTGAGTTGAATCACAGCGCCAGGTCTGAAGAGGATTAGAAAAAGGGAACGATTCTTGTTGTGTATGAACTAATGTTTTTAAACACTGAATTAATCATGTAGTTTACTGCTAAGAATCACTTAACACTTGTGTTATTTTTGACCCCAAAATTTCATTCTCTGCTGCTTCAAATAGCAACATTAAGAAGGATAGTAAGCACAAGAAAGCTGCATGCTGTGGTGATCCCAT